TAATCATTATTAGCCTAGCACATAGCATATCTAAGTACAGGAAAGGAGGAATGGCTGCTGTGAAAAAGGTAATCCTTCACCTGTAGGGAAGAAGGAATTGAATAAAAAGGTATAACGTGTTTGTATTTTTGGCTAAATGGAAATGATCACTGATTAATTAAGGAATATCATAGATGTATTGATTGTCTTAACATGTACTTAATTGGAAAATAATCATATTTATCAGAAATTATCATAAAACAAAGTATGTTTTTCCAGCTCTAAAAGACGGTCCAATCTCCGGGACCCTGAACACATCTCGACATTTAGGGCTGCAACTGATAATTATTCTCATTATTGATGCATTAGTGAATCGATTCTTCATTCAGTCTATAAATATAATTAAATTGTAATATCAGTTTCCTGGGGGCAAATGTGTCAACTTTATGATCTTAATAATACTTAGTTAGTGAAAATATTTAGTTTACAATCCCTTAAAACAGAGAAAAAAAACAGCAAAGTCCAAGTCCAATTCTGGGCTTTAAAGGCCAATATTCATTGATATATATTGACTATTTTTAAAAACATATACCAGTAAACATGTTTGAAAGGTCTTCTAAGGTTTTTTTTAATATTTAACATAAAATAAACTTGTCAGCTAGCTGTGGTGGAAAAACAGAATATCAATCAATAATAATAATCAATAATCAGCAAATATCAGCCCAAACTAATGAATGAACTCAGGAAGCAGGATCATCTCAAGGGCTTTATTTAAATTGTATCAAGCACAGTAAATATGAGCTTTAAAGGTAAAAAGGAAACATGTTAAAACAGTAACTGATGCAAGATAATTAAAACGCTTAATACATTTTAAATAAACAAAACGTTTTTTTAAGCGCTAGCAGCGTAATTATTGTCGTCCTGTCGTAACCTAAAAAACTAATTCACAGCGTGGTTGAATTGGTGCGTTTCTTTGGTCTGGAACTTCTTTTTGTTTTGGCTGAATTCAAAGCAACATGAAAGGACTTCAGGTTGGACCACAGGAAACCAATCAGTTCCATCGTTGCCTCTTAGCGTATGGCTCAGCCCTTTGACCCCGGCTTCAAGGTGCTGAAGGGTTTGGAGTTTCGCAGCGAGCCCGAGATCTCCTGCAGGAAGGCGGCGATGTGCAGATCCTTCTCCGACTTCCTGCCGTCGAAGATCACCACCAGCGTGAAGTGCGGCTCGGGCCGCGTCAGGTAGTACGTGCTCTGGACCTTGTCGTCGTAGAAGTGCACCACCTTGTCCAGAGTGTTGAGCTCGGCGGCGCGGTCTCCCATCATCATGATGACGTTTGGCCAGTGCGTGAGCGGGCGCTCTCCCGACGGCAGGGACACCACGGCGGGGAACTGCTCCACGCCCTTCGGTGCTTCCCGGTACGAGTGCGGGTGGTGGTAGCCGTGGCCCTGGAAGCTTTCTGAGCCGCGGTTGTCGAACACCAGAGACACGTTGCTGGCGTCGTGTTTGCGGATGAAGGAGCAGATCTTGCCGTGGTAGTCCGGCGCCGTGCGGGCGGTGAGGGCTCTCATGTCGGCCGGCGCCGTCTGCCGGCTCAGCGCTTCGTGGAAGTAGAAGCTGAACTTGGCGAGGAGCACCGCCTGGAAGCGCTGCAGCCACACGTAGAGGTGCGGAGGCTGCACGGCCTTCTGGGACTGACCTCCGAACAGATGCTTGCGGGTCTCTTTCTGCCGCTGGAACAGCTGACCCCAGGCGGTGAGCTTGGAGTTGGCGCCGTGCAGGCTGAGCAGAGCCGGCAGGAAGCTCCACTCGGATACCTGCGCCTGGCAGCGCAGTAACTGGGTCACCACGTCCACCTCCGTCTGGAAGCTCTCCTCCACGCGGCCCAGGATGGGGTGGTGGAACCTGAAGGAGCGAGGAAGAGGAGGTTGGCAGTTAAACAGGAACACGAGAAAACAAAAGCAAAGAGACGGGAGCTGACCTAATTTGTAGTGACCTGAAAGTCTCTTTGTCTCTCTAGTCTGGATCTGAGCTCAGCCTAAAAACTCTCTGGATTCGGGGTCCGTACATTTCCCCAGGTCTGCAGATCACCTTCACCCTTCAGTGCACGGTCAGATCAGTGATGTGTGGTGGTGTCGTGCTGCGGCCCGCTGCAGCTCAGTCAACATCTCAAGCGTGCAGTTTGTGTTCCCGCTGCAGTCGCAGGACACTTTTTTTTTGCTGACACGTCTCTGGGGGAACACAGTCGGATCCTGCGTTTGCCGGATTAAGCAGAAACTTTTCTTCCTCCAACCTAAATATGTCATCTCTAACTTTACTTATTTCCTATCCTTTAGCCTAACAATGCCATTGTCTGTTTGCAAACCAGGGATCAGTGGTGTTCAGAGCCTTTATGTGAGTAGAAATAGAAATACCACTTCATTATAAAAGTCCTGCATAAGTTAAAGTACTATCATTAGGAGGAAGAAAATGTTTTTTTATGATGTTTTATTATATGATCCAGTCCTAAAACCCTCATTTTATTAAAACTGTCATTGCAGGTAGGATGGCCATAAAAAAGTGTCTGTAGAAAGAACAAAGCAGGTTTCTGCACTAGAATTACAAAATACTCCATTCTGTCACTTAAAATAAGGTCAGATAAGACCAATGTACACACTTGGTGCTGTATTTGTGCAGGACCGCCTCCAGCGTGGTGACCAGCTCCTCCGAGTTGATGCTCTTCTGGCTGCCCAGCGAGTGCATCTTCTCGTACAGGTCGGCCATCTCCATGCGGGCCTGGGTGAAGTGGCAGAGCTGATCCGACAGGTGCGACAGCAGGTCCTCCAGGTAGGAGGCGGAGCCCGGCTGGCTGTGGCGCCCCATCGTCACCACCTTCCTGAGCTCGTTGAACAGCGACGTGTAGATGGTTCGGATGGAGTCTTTACGGCTGAAGAAGGACTGACCGCCTGCAGAGAGAGAGGGAGGGAGAGAGGGAGGAAAGAGTATCACCATGAGATGAAAATGGTTGACTCTTTTTATTTTTGCATTCATGTTTCACAGCGCCATCTGGTGTTGGAGATATGCAGCTGTCTAATATCTCACATGATCAAAGTAATAGGAATAAGATAATAATCCAGGGGTTAAACTATTACTTGCACATTTTTTTAAAGTGTTTCAGACACATTTTAAGCATAAAAACAGAGTGTGACCTGTTAACAGTAGCCTGCCTAGTTTGGTTTTTGGGCAAAAAGAGAAATAAATGATATAAATTGATTTAAATATTACAAAAACTTTTTAAACAAGCATTGGTAAAACATTAATGAAGCCATTCACACTTTATAGATCCTTCACAAACATCACATTGTGATTATTTTGACAGATATTGCGATGTGATTCTTGATGATGTTTTTGCCATATTGTGCAGGGTTATTAACTTCTTTTTTAATTAAAAGAAATTCAAAATTATTAGTTATATTATCGGTTGAAAAAAAATATATCAACATATAATAAATACCAATAAATATATAATATATAATAAATATAGAAAATATAGTACAGTGTGTAAATACTATGTACATTATATTACAATATATAATAATATATATTAAAATAAAATAAGACATTCAAATACAGTAACTAATAGAAGTGTGATTAAATATTATAATTGAAAATGTATTATATTTAATAAATTATATTTGTTATATTCAATACATTATATTGAATTCATTATATTTAATACATTATATATATAAAATATTTAATAAATTATATTTAATATATTATATCACATTTCATATATTATATTTAATACATCATATTTCATAAATTATATATTATATTTAATACATTATATTCTTCCTCCATTGTCGCCTGCTATCACAGATATAGGGAGGAGAGTATAGAGACCTGATCCAGAACTTCACTAGATTGGTGCACAGAAACCACCTCACAGCTCAACACAGGGAAACTAAAGCAGCTGCGTTGGTGGCAAGAGGCCCCCCATCCCCAGTGCGATTTGGGGGAAGGGAGGGTTAGAGATGTGGACACCCATGTTCCTGGGGGTGAATGCTTTAACAAAAAACCCTTTCATCCTCTCTTACACTGAGCTAGAGCAGCTCAGGAGCAGTTTCAGCCGCAGCACTGATCAGCCCCGAGCCCTTCAAAGTGGTTTGGAGGCTAGTTTGTACCATCAGCCATCCGACTTCCACAACGCACAGCACCCAGTACCTCCCACCCCCGCTGACTAAGACTGGTTTTAATTCAACCCAAACTTATAATTATTTATCTTAAAATTGCACAAATGCTTACAGTTTAGTGTTATTAGTCAAGCTGCTTAAAATATTTTGCACACCGATTGTACTTGCACATTGCATATAGTGTAAAATATTTAGTTGCCCGGAGCCCTGACCTATTGCTTAATTGTAGGACTTCTTTCCTTTTTTTTCTTCCCAAACAAAGCATTTTGGAGGGCCGAACAGCACGGAAAAAACTCATTAAACGGTGGCGCACATGTCAGTTGGTGGTGTCAAATTCGATGTACCACCAGAACACACAAAGGTGCTATAACTTGAGTGACCATTGCCATTCAGCTCCAAACTTCACTTGTCTGATAAGAGTCCCGGGCCCTGAACACATCTATGTGATAAAATTCAGAAAAACTGTAGCGCCACCTTGTGGAACCAGAAATATTTAATTTATTACACTTTTATGTATTTCTTGTAGCAGATTGCCACATCCAGCTGAAATTTGGTTCAGAAACCTGTGACGTGATAATCTTATTGAATCTTATACATTTTTATTGAACCGTTGTGCCGTAGCAATGCAGCGAGCATCACCTTGTTGTTTTAACATTTGATCCATTTTGGGGGGCTAAACAGGCTCAAATGCTCGATAGCGCCCCCTACAAATTTCAAAAAAATAAGCCCCGGTGAATCTACGATGAATGTAAATTTGGCAGGCATATGTATCATTCAGGACGTAAAAAAAAAAGAATCTTGGATGCCATATCCTAACTCAACAGGAAGTCGGCCATTTTATTTAAAAATTCTCTAGTCTAGTCTAGATTTAACAAACTCTTCCTAGGGAATGATCAGAACAATTTAAATTTGTGAGCACATCTAAACACCTCCAGGATTTAAAGTTGTGCTCCTCATAAATATTTATTGAACGTCCGTGGCGTGCCTTCAAAAATCAGCCTGACATGACAATGAAAACCCTACCCCTACTGCTAAACCTAACTGCAGACAAGATTCTCCATTTGAAAGCCAAACTTCACAATTGCTGCAGTGTGTAAATGAATTTCTCCTACGGGGGATTAAGAAAGTATATCTTATCTACCAGGGCCTCACAAATGGGGGCGGTTGCCACGTTTCACAAATTATTTTCGTTTGCAAGTGCAGATAGATTTTAGAGTTGAACAGAAACTCTGGCATGGTCATGTATGAAGTAAAAAAAAATTATCTGGGAACATTTTTGTTTGTTTGTTTTGTTGCCTTCTTTCATTACCGTAATATTTACAAAATTAGGAACATCCTTGTCACAGACAGATGCAGAAAAATTAATCCATGGCATTGTTACTTAAGCTGGATTACTGCAACTCCTTTGTTATCAGGTTGGCCCAAATAAGTCCATTAAAGACGCTCCAATTAATTCAAAACACTGCAGCACGAGTACTGACCAGGAAACTAGGACCTGTTCTAGCTTCTTTGCATTGTGCTCCCTGTTAAATTTAGAATAGAATTTAAAAATTATCCTCCTCACCTTATAAAGCTCTTCATGGTCAGGTCCCCTTCTTATCTTGGAAGAGCTCATAGTACCCTACTCCCCTCAGAACACTGCGTTCTCTTAATGCAGGCTACTTGTCGGGTCCTTATATATTTTTTTATTATTATGTGTCTTAACTTTCGTCTTACTTCTTTCCTCTCCTTCCTTTCCTCCTCTCCCTTCCCTTTCTCCATTTCTTTTCTCTACTTTCTGCCTATTTATTGCACTCCCTTCTTCTTTCTCTTATTTTTTCCCATTGCTATTTTCTCTTCAATTTCCTCTTTGATAGTCTCTAAAAGTTTAGAACAGGGCCAGAGCCTTCAGTTACCAAGCTCCTCTCCTGTTTGGAACCAGCTTCCAGTTGTGGTTCGGGAGGCAGGACACCCTCTCCACATTTAAGGAATAGGGCTTAAGACGTTCCTCTTTGATAAGCCTTATAGTTAGGGCTGAGATCAGGTGAGTCCTGAACCAGTCCCTTAGTTATGCTGCTATAGCCTAGACTATCGGGGGGTGTGGCGCCGCCTCACGGTGCTGATTCTTCTCTCCACGCCGCCGGTGTGGGGGGCCTAATTCCTTTTTCTTTTTCAGAGTAAAAAATTTTTTTTCTTAAAAGTTGTACAAAAAAAAAAAAAAAAAAAAAAACCTCATAATTGTTTTTTTTTTTTTCTCAAAACCTTTTTCCTCGCGAATTTTTTTTTTTCCCATTCCGAGCTTTTAAAAAACGTCATTTTTTAATTTCTTTCAAAAGGGGAAAAAAGAAGCCGGTTTTTTCCTTTTTCTTTTTTTTTTGCTTTTTGTTTAAGGGATTGCGCCCCGGCGGCTTAACCCCACAAAAAAGAGGTTTTTTTTGTATTTAGCGAGGAAAAGCAGGACAAATTTTAGATGCCTTTTTTAAAAAAAAAGGTCTATACCAACTTTGTTTACCCCTTTTTTGGGATTTTTTGCATTTTTCTTTTTTTCAAAGTTTTGTTAGATAATTGGGTCTTTTTTCAAAATTTGTTTTACTTTTCTATTAAAAAATGACCCTTCGGTTTTTGCGAAAAAAAGTTAAGCCCTTTCTGATTCTTAAGCCAAATTTTTGGCTTTTGGGAAATTTTTTTCTCTCTTACAACATTTTTGCCAAAAAAAAAATTCCTTCTTTTTGTCTTTTTTTGGTCTGTTAGTAAAGTTTTTGGGGGACTTTTAAATTTTTCCTCGTCCCCGCAAGCCCGGCAGTTTTAAAAAAAAAAAAAAAGTTCTTTAACAGGTTTTTCAAGGAAAAAGGGCTTTTTTTTTTTTCCAGGGGGAGGTTTTAAGGGGGGAGTACTTTTTTGCGCTTTCAAAAAAGGAAAGAAAAAAAAAACCGTTTTAGGACGCCCTTTTCTACCGCGGTTTTTTTTTTTGGGAATTTTTCTTTTTAATAAAAAAACCCTTTTGTTTTTTTAGTTTGTTTGGTCATTTTGCCCAAAAAATGCGTTTCTCTGCCAAACAAAAGAACCAAAAAAAGGCCTGTCTCCCAAATTTTTCAGAACAAACCAAAAAGCTAATTCAAAAAAATTTTTTTTCTTCTTGGGTTTCTTTTTTTTGCCCGCCCCCCATTTTTTTTTCTTTTTCTCTTAAGAAGATTTTTTTTTCCTCTTTTTTACAAAACTTTCCCTTTTTCCATATGGTTGATTCCATTATTTTTCCAGGCTTTGCTGGTTTTTTGTTTTTGGCTAAAAAAAATCTTGTTAAAAAAAAATCTTAAAAAAGGAACCCCCACCTTGCCGTCTTTAGGGACTTAAAAGGCTGTTTGCTCTTTTTTCAAGAAATTTTATTTGCGGTTTTTTCTAGTTCTTTGCCTATTTTTTTTGTGTTTGGATTGGACCGGGCATTTTTTCTTGGGCCTTTGTTTTAAAGAAATAATTTATGGAGCTTTTTTTTTGGTGGGTTTTCCTCAAAAAAAAACAAAAAAACAGGAGGGAAATTTTGGGCCCGCCCGCTTAGGGGCTTCAAAGGTCCAGGTTTAAAAGCGGGCGGGGGGACCCATTATTTACGGCAGCAAAAAGCCTGGGTTCAGGAGTCTTTTGGGGAAAACCTGTTTTGGGTTGGCCCTTTTGCTGCCATGTTTGGTTCCCCCTCTCTT